TCACTTTGGTCCATTTTGGTTAGTTTCGGTTATCGCTTTGGTGATGCCAACCACCAAAGAGGCGGTTTACCGTTTAGACGGTCTATATACTTCACTTTGGTCCATTTTGGTTAGCTTCGGTTATGGAAGCGGTCTATATATAGAGACCACCCATATATGGGGCGGTCTGTATATAAAGGCGATCTGTACATGGAGGCGGTCTATAAATGGACTCGGTCTATATATGCAGGCGGTCTATGTATGGAGCCGGTCCGCATATGGAAGCGGTTTACATATAGAGGCGGTCTGTATATGGAGGTGGTTCATATACGAAGGCGGTCTGCATTTAGAGACCGTCCGTATATAATGGCGGTCTGTATATGGAGGCGGTTCGTATACGAAGGCGGTCTGTATATTGAAGCGGTTTGTATATCAAGGCGATCCGTATACAAAGGCGGACTGTATTTGGAAGCGGTCCGTATATAAAGCCGGTCCGCATATGGAAGCGGTTTACACATAGAGGCGGTCTGTATATGGAGGCGGTCCGTATACAAAGGCGGTCTGTATTTAGAGACGTTCCGTATATAATGGCGGTCTGTATATGGAGGTGGTCCGTATATGGAGGCGATCAATATATGGAAGCGGTCTGTATATCGAGGCGGTCCGTATACGAAGACGGTCTGTATTTGGAGGCGGTCCGTATATAAAGGCGTTCCGTATATGAAGGCGATCCCTATATGGAAGCGGTCCGTATAGAGAGGCGGTCTGTATATGGAGGCGGTTCGTATACAAAGGCGGTCTGTATTTAGAGACGTTCCGTATATAATGGCGGTCTGTATATGAAGGTGGTCCGTATATGGAGGCGATCAATATATGGAAGCGGTCTGTATATCAAGGCGGTCCGTATATAAAGGCGTTCCATATATGGAGGCGATCCCTATATGGAAGCGGTCCGTATATGGAGGCGGTCCGTATACGAAGGCGGTCTGTATTTAGAGACGGTCCGTATATAATGGCGGTCCGCATATGGAGGTGATCCGTATATGGAGGCGATCAGTATATGGAGGCGGTCCGTATATCGAGGCGGTCCGTATACGAAAAAATCATGTGCGGGTTGCGTAACTCTGTTTTTACACCATCACACGTACTCCGATAAGATAGTTTGCTTCTAATCACATACAGGGTGTCTCATTTTCTTTACATTGGTTCTATGTGTTACGTTATTATATCGTTTGTTTCGAGCGAACGATATTTTCGTTTTCGTTTTTTTTTTATTTCCTTCTTTAAATTTAAATTGTATACAGAACGTCGCGATATCGTTCTGTTATTTTGACGGTTCTTATTAAATTTTAAATGTTCTAATTTTTTTTTAACGTTTTTCTTTAAATATGTGTCGATTTATGCGTTCTTACACATTTTATCGTATAATTTATTCGCGTTTTTCTTTTTTTTATTCAGAAGTTTCTAGTCGAAAATAATAATGGAAAGCGAACAAATTAGAAGCGATCGATACGGACGGTATCGAGTGGCGGCCGGCGACGGGAATTGCTTGTTTCGTTCTATTGCCGTGGGATTGCACGGTAACGACCGGCAACATTTCCAGGTAAGATCGAACGCGGTCGCGGCGGCGGAAAACAATTGGAACGATCTAGCGGTTTGGACCGATTTTACAAATTTTGATGATTACAAAAATGTCATGTCAAAAAACGGCGAATGGGGTTCCGCCATGGAAGTTTTCGCACTTTCTTCGTTTTATAATAGGAGGTTTTTGATCATCGAAAATGGAAAAATTCTCTTAGATCAGGGAAGAATGTGTATATTTTGTATTATTTTGCTTATAGTGATATTACTTATGGAGCTTGTTTGTTGTTAGACTTCGCTTTTCTAACAATTCTTTTGAAAATTTTATGTCGAAGGCGCCGATCAAAGGACCACAGGTGTGAGTGATATGAATGTGATTGGGTAAGGTTCATTAGCGAAAAATTAATTTGATTTGTTTTTTGGTGCACGTGAGGAAATAAATTAGTAGAAATTCATTTTTGTTAATGTTTGCTTATTTGTTATATGCTATGTTATATCAGATAAATTGACAGTTGTACTAACTACTTGTTGATTTCAAAACCTGACAAGTTCGATTAAGATAAGAGGCAGTATATTATTTAATGTGTTTCTGATAATGTGTTGTTAATTTTAATTAAAAATTGTAAATAATTGTTAAGAAAAGTTAAGTTTTTTTTGGCATTTGCAATAAATTTTTAATTTCAGTGTTATTAAATTGTTTTTTTTTACTTCATTTTATTAAGATTATTTCATAGATATAAAATAATTTTCTGAAATGTAATAAATTAATTATTACTTATTGTTTAATTATGCATTAATTTCTAATGATGTAAAAATGTAATATAAATAAAAAAGTCTTCCACCCCTTCCGGCTCTTCTTCCACCTCTTCCGGCTCTTGTTCCACCTCTTCCATTCCGGCCACCACTTCGTTGTCCTCTTTCCCCTCTCTTATACCAAATTCCTCCCTCTACTTTTTCGTTTCCTTTTTTTTTAATTGTTCAATTTCTACTTGTTGGATATTTGGATATTTTTTTTTTAAATCTTCAATTTTATCTAGACGTTAAATAAAAGACAGTATATATAGTAAATAGAATATCGTCATTATATCTGGGCTTATTTCGCATAAAAAATTGTTATGCAGAAGTAAAAAGTTTCTTGCCATATCTCTTATTTATCTCGAAAAGTAATGGGAAGAATTTTATTAGTAGTTATTTAAAGTAATTGTTATTGTATATATATTTTAGTAATAATAAACTCTTAATTTTTGCAATTTTTTGATTTTACTACTAATTAAATCTAAAAAATTAATTATTGGTTTCTTAATTAAACTTACCATTCATTTCCCTGTCTTTATTTTTTTCTTGTACATCAATAGGTGGAAGATCTGTAATATTATTTTTATGAATTTTTTATTATTTAGAAATTTTTGAAAAAATATGTGTGTCTATATTAATTGAATTTACATTTAAATGAAAATTTAGAAAAGTGCTATAGTAGGTTATTTAATTTTCAATTAATATGATATTTACTTATTGTTTAATCATGAGGTTATTATTTTTCAATATTTTTTAAATGAATTAAGTTGACGTTTTTTAAAACTATTTTGTTGAATTATTTTTTTGTTGATAAGATATTTTTATTAAAATTGTAATACTTTAGCAATTTTCTTTTGAGTAATTTATCCAAGTGTTTAAGAAAATAAATAAAAAATAATACGGTAAATACGGTATTTTTATAATAAAATAATATATACTTATCATTTAAATTATCTTCTATTTCAATGGTCGGAATTGTCATGTTTTTGGATTGTTTAAATCTGTAGATAGCGATATTAATATGTCAAGATTCAAAATTCTGTTGTCTCAATATTTTAATAACAAATTTTACGAATAACACATTACAAAAATTTGTATATTAGATTTGTTCAGGCAGAATTTGTCGATTATTGATTATTAAACGTGAAAACTAGCTATTTATAAAAAACATTTTAAAATACCGAAGTAAATTATGATGACATAAGTAGTCGTAAATGCTCGATGTTATTAGGTATATTCAATTTCACAAATTTGTAATATTTTCTAAGGAAATGTTTCATAAACAATAAAAAAATTCTTACCTCTTTGACACGATTTTTATAAATGTAGCCAATTTCGGTTTCACGGCCACACTAGATCTAATGTTGTATCCTTTGGTTCATTTGCACGCGGAGAGTTCTTGGAACGAATCCGCCGACAAGGTCAACACGTTGAGACAATATTACAGATTTCGGTTGTTATCGGATATTCCGAGGACAAAGGGCGGTCGTTATTGGAATGTCTTGGATTTGGTAGGTAAATTGCGTTTACAATACATCATCGACGCCGCCGTCAAAATCGAGTACAACGACGTTTCTTGGGCGGAAAAAAATCAAAAGGTATTACGATCCGATACCTACGATAGTTTGAAAAGGTTCTTGGAAATGCGGACGGCGGAAATAAACGAGGGAAATTAAGGTCTAGCTCGCGTACGTCCCGGTCGCATCATCATCTTACCGGCTACGATTCCTGGTACCAGGCGGTACTACCACAACGGTTATCTAGACAGTTTGGCTTTGTGCGCGAAATTGAGAAGAGTTCCCACTTACCTTCTCACGTTCACATCAAACAAAAATTGGCAAGAGGTAATCGACGAGATGAACCGCCGCGACAAATCCGTGTCCGACATAGGAAACTTTCCGGAGGTTTTGTGTCGCGTATTCGAACAAAAATTGAATGCCTTGATGGGAGATTTGACCGAGCGTCAAATCTTAGGGAAAATCGAAGGATACGTTGTCAGGGTAGAATTCCAAAAACGCGGCGCTCCGCACGCGTATATCCTTCTCTATTTGTCCAGAGAAGACGTTCCCGTTTCGGGAGAGGATGTGGATAGGGTCATTTGGGCGAGATGGCCCGAACCTTCGGACGGTAACGGTTTCGAATCGCTTCGTCACTTGGTCAACACGTTCATGATACATAACAAGTGCGATATCGAACCGGAAAACGTCGAACAGGAAATCGACGACAATGACGAGGAGGAGGAACAAGAGGGGGAGATAGGTGTCGAAAATTCTAGGGTCAGAAGACCGTCTTGCTGGACCGTTGTCGATCGATGCCGGTGGAAATATCCGAAACAGCAAATATCGAGCACCGTTTTTAAGATCGAGAAGCAAATTCTTTACAGACGTCCTCCGGGTGTTTGCTTTTTTAACAGGCAACAAAATCGTTTCGTCGGCAACGAATTTGGAACTTTGCGTCGGAAACCCGATCCAGGTGTGTCGATACATTAACGCCTACGTCAATAAGGGGTTAGACGTAGCGAACATCCAATGCGTTGAGATGCAAGTGAATACGACCACCGGTACGATCGATTGGAACGAGGCGGCGGCATTCCTTAAAATGAGATATATCGGACCGCACGAGGCGATCGCATCTTGGGAAATGGCATGTTCCATATCAGTCACACGATCGAAAAGTTGCCCGTGCATTTGGAAGGAGAGGCTTGTGAAATTTACAGGGAAGGGGACGAGGTGGCCGTAGTCGAAAGGGGCGAGCGTTCTAAGCTCGTCGCTTGGTTCGAATTGAACGCGGCGGAGGAGGCGACGGGTCGGCGACGGTTCTACGTCGACATCGTCGAAACGCACTCTTGGCGGCAAGGTCGTTGGGTCGCCAAGTCGCGACCCACCAGTTCTATAGGTCGTATGAGTCCGGTTTATCCGAGTCCGGGGAATATGGAGCGCTACTATCTACGAATGATTTTGGGCAACGTGACAGGTTTGATTTCGTTCCTGGACGCGAAAACCGTAAACGGCGTTTTATGTCCTTCGTATCAGGCCGCTTGCGTAGCGTTAAAATTGATCCCGGACGACGACGAAGAGGCGGACAAGATTTTAGATTGGATAGCGGATCGTCTTCGTCATCCGTTTTATTTAAGGGAAGCGTTCGCTCTAATTCTCTTGTACAATCCGTCGAAGAATCCCCGAACTTTATTTAAGAGATGGTGCAGGCGTATGTCCGCGGACGTGCTTAGGATTCATATCGATTTAATCAGAGATATCGACGAAGAGGGCGCGGGCGACTTAAACGAAAGGATGCACGTGCTCCGTACGTGTCGGTATACGGTCCTTTGGAGTTTCGTAGATCGATTTCTGGTCGAATGCTCCACTTCGATGGAAAAAATTAATCTTCCTCGGGATTGGATTTCCGATTGGGTTTACGACAAGGAGGCGGAACAACTTTTGGACGAGGAAGAGGTTACGTTCGAGGAATTCGCTTTCGTTCCGAGACCGAATCAAAATTTGCATCTGATCGATCTCAACGATCAACAGCTGGGATTCGTTTACGAGGTTTTACAGTCTGTATGCAATCGTAACGGTATCGTTTTCGTTTTGACCGGCGAAGGGGGCATCGGCAAAACCGCGACCGTCAACGTTATTTTGGAAGTGGCGGAACTTCGCGCGTTACCGTACGTATCCGCGGCTTTTACGGGAATCGCGGCCACGTTAATCCGGAACGCGGCTACGATTCATTCTTCTTTCGGCATTCCTAGAGAAAGAGGCGTAGACGATACGCCGGTTTCTAATTTGGTGGGCGAGTCGGAGGCGGCCGACGATATTCGAAATGCGAGACTCGTCGTGTTAGACGAGGTGTTTATGTTGGCGTCGTGGATGTTGGAAATGATCGATGCCGTGTGTCGGGAATACGGTCAATCGCGACGGCCGTTCGGTGGGAAAACCGTTATTCTTAGCGGCGATCCCAAGCAGTTGCTTCCCGTTGTCAAGTGTAGGCGAGCGGGAATGACGTCCATCGTTTCGCATCCGGCATGGAGTACTTTTCAACTGTGCACGTTAACGGAAAACATGCGTGTTCATCCGCAAGAGGTGGAATGGTCGAATTTCATCAGGAGAGTAGGCGACGGGGAAAGAATCGTTTCGGACAACGGACGCGAACCGATTTCCGATAACTGTCTGTTCGTTTCTTCCAAATTAATTGTCAAATCGCGCGAACAACTCGTCGACTTTGTTTACGGGGACCTCTTCGAATCGATGCTCGCTCTTCCCGGGACGAACGAGCGATTCTTGGAATTAGTTGAGCGATTGGCCCTCCGGTCGATCCTTTGTCCCGTGAACAGCGAGGTCGAGGAGTTGAACAAAATCATCTCGATCATCGATCATCAGGATCGGAGAGGGTCTTTTTGGCAACCAATTCCTACGATAGACAGAGTAACGAGGATGGGGCCGACGATCACGAAATCGCCAATCCCCTCGCGACGGGAGTCACCAGTGAAATTATCGAAAGTTTAGATTTGTCGGGACTACCGCCACATCGGTTGACTTTGAAGATCGGTTCGGTGGTAGTCCTTTTGGTAAATCTTAACGTGCGGAGGGGTTTTTGTAACGGACAGAGAATGATCGTTTTGGAGATGGGCGATGACGTGATAGTCGGCCGCATCGTTTCCGGTCAATTTCAGGGCCGTAAATGTGTCATTATCAGAAAACAATTCGTTTTAGAGGAAAAAGAAACGCCATTGCTACCGGGCGGCGGCACATTTTATAGAAAACAATTTCCGATCAAGTTGGCGCACGCAATTACTATCAACAAAGCGCAAGGACAGACTCTTTCGCGAGTCGGTTTGTGTCTCAACGTCCCTTGTTTTGCTCACGGTCAATTGTACGTCGCTTTGTCCAGAGTGCGTACTTGGCAGGATATTCGCATTTTTGTAAAGGAAAGTCGTAGACAGGGTCGTTTCTTTAAAGACGGTCGCAAAAATAATCCAGTTTTCACGCAGAATATCGTTTATAGGGCGTTTTTAGATAAAATCTTCAATTGAATTCGAAAATTTGCCACTTTTTACATTTTCGTTTCCATTTTACGACCCCATTTTCGTTCCGATTTTACGACACAACGATGACAGTTCACCGATAATAACTTGTAACCGAGGGCGACTTTTTACCGACGACGTCCTTTACCCAATATAGCCTTTTCACCCGATCGTGACTTTTTACCCAATTATGACGTTTACTCGATCACGACTTTTACCAAATAAAAATATTACATTTTCCAAATTTTTATTAAGTACACGAGTTCCAATATTTCCTGCCGCCGGTACGAACGATGACTTTTTCCCGATTAAAACTCTAACCCGACAAAGACGTTCACCCGATTGAGACTTTTACCCGATTTTGACTTTAATCCCATCACGAGGGTCGAAATTGTTCGTTACGTTCGATACCGCGGACAATCGAACGATAGAGAAAAATACGACGATAACCCGATTCGCGACACACTATCTCATAACGTAACTAAACCTTTTTTTTAAATGTTTCAGATCTACGAGACGTTCACAACCGGCCAAGGATTTTTTATTATCAATACTAATTTGTTATATTTCAGGCGACCTTCAAGGTTCTTTTTAGAACCGCCAAATCGTTTTTTAAAGAATTCGTTTTCGATAATAAATAAAAATGAAATAAATTTATTTTCCCTTTCCCATTCCTTTTTCCTTTAACGTCGAACGAAACGTTTCGAGACGAACGTTTCAAAAATACGTAATCACATATCTTAACATTTTCATTTCAATTTCAAAACGTTCTGAATCATGGTGATGTTCAATTCTAAATTTTGATCGGTTTTTTTATTAGTTTTAATTAGATATCAAACCGCCACCGAAGAGGTTCACGGTCTAGGCAATACGTCACTTTGGTCCATTTTGGTTAGTTTCGGTTATCGCTTTGGTGATGCCAACCACCAAAGAGGCGGTTTACCGTTTAGACGGTCTATATACTTCACTTTGGTCCATTTTGGTTAGCTTCGGTTATGGAAGCGGTCTATATATAGAGACGACCCATATATGGGGCGGTCTGTATATAAAGGCGATCTGTACATGGAGGCGGTCTATAAATGGACTCGGTCTATATATGCAGGCGGTCTATATATGGAGCCGGTCCGCATATGGAAGCGGTTTACATATAGAGGTCGTCTGTATATGGAGGTGGTTCATATACGAAGGCGGTCTGCATTTAGAGACCGTCCGTATATAATGGCGGTCTGTATATGGAGGCGGTTCGTATACGAAGGCGGTCTGTATATTGAAGCGGTTTGTATATCAAGGCGGTCCGTATACAAAGGCGGACTGTATTTGGAAGCGGTCCGTATATAAAGTCGGTCCGCATATGGAAGCGGTTTACAAATAGAGGCGGTCTGTATATGGAGGCGGTCCGTATACAAAGGCGGTCTGTATTTAGAGACTTTCCGTATATAATGGCGGTCTGTATATGGAGGTGGTCCGTATATGGAGGCGATCAATATATGGAAGCGGTCTGTATATCGAGGCGGTCCGTATACGAAGACGGTCTGTATTTGGAGGCGGTCCGTATATAAAGGCGTTCCGTATATGAAGGCGATCCCTATATGGAAGCGGTCCGTATAGAGAGGCGGTCTGTATATGGAGGCGGTTCGTATACAAAGGCGGTCTGTATTTAGAGACGTTCCGTATATAATGGCGGTCTGTATATGAAGGTGGTCCGTATATGGAGGCGATCAATATATGGAAGCGGTCTGTATATCAAGGCGGCCCGTATATAAAGGCGTTCCATATATGGAGGCGATCCCTATATGGAAGCGGTCCGTATATGGAGGGGGTCCGTATACGAAGGCGGTCTGTATTTAGAGACGGTCCGTATATAATGGCGGTCCGCATATGGAGGTGATCCGTATATGGAGGCGATCAGTATATGGAGGCGGTCCGTATATCGAGGCAGTCCGTATACGAAGGCGGTCTGTATTTGGAGGCGGTCCGTATATAAAGGCGTTCCGTATATGGAGGCGATCCCTATATGGAAGCGGTCCGTATATGGAGGCGGTCCGTATACGAAGGCGGTCTGTATTTGGAGACGGTCCGTATATAATAGCGGTCCGTATATGGAGGTGATCCGTATATGGAGGCGATCAGTACATGGAGGCGTTCTGTATATCAAGGCGGTCCGTATACGAAGGCGGTCTGTATTTGGAGGCGGTCCGTATATAAAGGCGTTCCGTATATGGAGCCGGTCCGCATACGGAGGCGGCCCGTATACCGAGGCGATCCATATACGAAGGCGGTCCGCATACGGAGGCGGTCCGCATACAAAGGCGATCCGTATACGCAAATTCGAGGTGAAACCGCGAAAGGCTCATTAAATCAGTTATGGTTCCTTAGATCGTACCCACAATTACTTGGATAACTGTGGTAATTCTAGAGCTAATACATGCAAACAGAGGTCCGACCGGAGACGGAAGGAGTGCTTTTATTAGATCAAAACCAATCGGTGGCGGGTTCGCGCCCGACATCGTTCAACTTGGTGACTCTGAATAACTTTACGCTGATCGCACGGTCTCGCACCGGCGACGCATCTTTCAAATGTCTGCCTTATCAACTGTCGATGGTAGGTTCTGCGCCTACCATGGTCGTAACGGGTAACGGGGAATCAGGGTTCGATTCCGGAGAGGGAGCCTGAGAAACGGCTACCATATCCAAGGAGGGCAGCAGGCGCGCAAATTACCCACTCCCAGCACGGGGAGGTAGTGACGAAAAATAACGATACGGGACTCATCCGAGGCCCCGTAATCGGAATGAGTACACTCTAAACCCTTTAACGCGAGGATCCTGCCGGTGGACTTAGCCCGTTCACGCGGGCGGTCCAACTCAATCCTGCCGCGTGCGGTGAGTGTCGAGGTGGGCCGGCACGTTTACTTTGAACAAGTGCTTAAAGCAGGCTAAAACTTCGCCTGAATACTGTGTGCATGGAATAAGGGAATAGGACCTAGGTTCTATTTTGTTGGTTTTCGGAACCCCGAGGTAATGATTAATAGGAACGGATGGGTGCATTCGTATTGCGACGTTAGAGGTGAAATTCTTGGATCGTCGCAAGACGGACAGAAGCGAAAGCATTTGCCAAAAACGTTTTCATTGATCAAAAACGAAAGTTAGAGGTTCGAAGGCGATCAGATACCGCCCTAGTCCCCGCATAAAAGCGGCGCGCGGGGGGCGGAGTTACCGCCTCCGAAAGAACTTTTTTCCGGAAAATGGCGGAAACGATGTCGGATCCGGGTAAAACGGGGTCGGAAACCGTCCCCTTTGGGACGAAAATTCGCTCCGTTTCTCGCTACGACGAACCGTTTCCGAGATACGGCGGTTTTTTGGGAAATTTTCAAAATTTTCAAATCGTCGTATTTCGAAAACGGTGCGTCGGAGGCGAAAAATAAGCGAATTTTCGTACCGGCCTCGGCGCCATTAATTAGGGGGACCGGCCGACTCGGCGTGTGGAATCGACTGACAAAGTCTCAACCCCCCCCCCTCCAAATTTTACCCACTCGGATTTTGTAATTTATGAAAAAAAAAATCTGATAAAATGCCTTCTAAGGGTAAACGGGGGTGAGAAGCGACCCCTAAAGGGCGAAAATTTCGTGCGTTTTTCGATCCGACGAGCCGTTTTCGAGATTTCGACATTTTCGAAAAATTTTCGAAAAAGGGCCGTATCTCGGAAACGATGCGTCGGAGGCGAAAAATAAGCGAATTTTCGTACCGACCTCGGCCTTATTGATTAGGAGGACCGACCGACTCGGCGTGGGGAATCGACTGACAAAGTCTCAACCCCCCCCTCCAAATTTTACCCCCTCGAATTTTGTAATTTTTGACAAAAAAAATCGGAGAAAATGTCTTCTAAGAGTAAAGGGGGGTGAGAAGCGAACCCTTTTGGGTGAAAATTTTGTCCTTTTTTTGATTGGACGAACCGTTTTCGAGTTATGGCCATTTTAAAATCGAAAAAAAAAAATACGAATCTCAGTAAGGGTGCGTCGGAGGCGAAAAATAAGCGAATTTTCGTACCGATCTCTTTATAATGCGCGTGGAGTGGTGCGGATTCGTAACCACTATAGCCTGGTAGGTTTCCGACGTTCCTCCTATCCATTCAAGTTTTAAATTTTAAATCGAGGTAGGCTCGCAATACTCTATACGATGCCGGCGGGGGTATCAAAATCAAGAAAATGGGGAAACCGATACCGGATTCCCGTAAAATGGGGTGGTAAAGCGTCCCCTATAGGGCAAAAAATTGCTCGGTTTTTCCAAAAAACGAACCGTTTTCGAGTTATGGCCATTTTAAAATTGAAAAAAAAAAATTCGAAAAAGGGCCGTATTTCGGTAAGGGTGCGTCGGAGGCGAAAAATAAGCGAATTTTCGTACCGAGTTTCTTAAAGAGCGCGTAGAGTGGTGCGGTTTCGTAAACACTATATCTTGCTAGGTTTCCGACGTTCCTTCTATCCATTTAAGTTTTAAATTTTAAATCGAGCTAGGCTCCTAAGACTATACGATGCCGGCTTGAATAAACGAAAATTTAATAATATTGTAGATATATCACTCTGGAGTTTTGGACCGGTGAATATATCGTTGAGGGAAGGCTGGTTGGGAAGTTGTGCGGAACAGTTAAAAACCACCCTTAGTTTACTGGTTAAACTTTCCGGCCTTAAAACACAATGGTGGGATAGATAATAACAGTGAGGGGACTGAACGAATCGTCTGGAATAGATTCCATGTGGTTAAGCGTAATAAATTCGTTCATGAAATCGCGATATTGCGAGTAAATCTCAGGCTGCTTCTTAAGTCTCCGCTCAAGGGAATAAAACCTCTGTAAAGCCAGAGATCGGATATTTGGGAAGATAGGGGCTTCTTCCTTAAAAGGTAAGTCGACGATGAACCGACCAGACGGCTGGTCTCGCCGGTGTGTGCTGACAAATGTTTGTTCCGCCTTAATGTCATCGGGAGATAGACGAGGTGCATCAGGAAGTGTCTTTAATTCCCAGAATTTGTCCAATTGTTGATCAAGGGAAACCGTGTCCTCAAGATGACAAAGCAACGTAGCGAGTGCAGGCGCTTTGAAATGATTTATTTTCCCCATAAGGACATAGCCGAAGAATATATTAATTGCGTCGGGCTGGTCTTTAGATCCAGGGATGCGTCCGTCCAACAGAATTTTAGAAAAGACGTCGGCACCCAGAAAGAGGTCTATAGGTCCCCTGCGGGAAAATTGGTCATCGGCCAAGTGTAAACTAGTTAAGCGGGACCAGTGACTATGTTTAACATCCAAAGCAGGCTGGTCTTCGCAATTTTTTTTCAGAATTAAAGCGTCAGTGGTTAAAACATGATGAGTTTTATACATCGGTCTAAAAAATATAGTTACTCTACCTAAATCAGCTTGCGAATGCATGGCGCCTAAGCCGTTTATACGAACCTCTAGGGGAGACGGTCGTAAGCCTAACCGGCTAACTGTTTTTTGAGTTATGAATGACGACATACTTCCTGAATCGAGTAAGCATCGTATCGGCTGGTAGATTCCGCGACCGTCGAGTATTTCGAGAAAAGCAGTGGAAAGTAAAACGCTTGAATTTGCTGAAGAAAAACCTGCAGTTACGGTTAATGGATTTATGTGGTCAGAGAGCTTAAGCGAATCATTGTTAGCGGGGGGTGACTGAAAGTGAAGTAATGTGTGATGTTTTTTGTGGCACATATGACAACTCCACGTAGAGGTACAGGTACTAAAACGGTGAGAGCCTAAACAATTTACGCACATTTTTCCCCTCTTAACCAGATTGTAGCGCTCTGCGGGAGATTTTTCCAAAAACTCGCTGCATTTATAAATAAATTGAGAATTTTTACAAACAGGACATTTTGGTGGATTTTCAGTTTGAGCCAGCATTGCTGTAGAGTTGGAGAAAGTTGGCTTTTTGAGAAAAATTTGCTTTGTTTTAGTTTGAAAATTAATATTGTCCAACGCCAGACAATTTTTACTTAAAAATTGCTTTAATTTAGCATAACTTGAAATAGTACTGTCGTTGTGATGAAGTTCAAATCGTGTAACTAGAGAAACCGTGAGTCTTTTCAGCATCATTTGAACAAGTATAAAGTCCCAGTGTTCCGTGGGTAACCCTAGTTTTTGCAAAGCTGCGACATTTTTTGAAAACGTATCTAATAAAGAGCGTAACTCTTTTGAATTATCTGAGGTAAGTTTGGGTGAGCATTCGAGGTTATTCCATAAATTTGAAGCAATAACTCTCACATTATTGAACCTTTCTTTTAGTAAATCGTAAGCAATTGTGTAATTATCTGCTGTGATATCCAAATGGTCGACAGCGTCCCGAGCGACACCTTTCAAGCAAGAAACTAATAGGTTAAATTTGTCAATCGCTTTTAAGTGGGGGACCGTATGAACACGCGCATCAAATTGATCGAGAAAACTCCGAAACTCGGTAACTTCTCCGCTAAATGTCGGTAACTCAGGCTTGGGTAAATTTAAATATGCAGAGATGGGCAATTGTTCACCCGGTATAGCCACAGATTGCGTCGTCGGCTTCATTAAACGTTGCGTATAAATAGCTTGAATTCTATAATATTAAATATCGAATTTTTTTCGAAAATCATCCTCAATCTTGAATAGTTCATCCGCATTTTGCTTATCACATATGATTGATATAATTTTATTGTGAAGTTTATAAAAATTTGTTCGAGTTTCCTCAAGTTCTTTATACATAGCTTCAAGAATGGGATAAAAACTTTCATCTTCGGCATTAACTTTCAGAGCAACATCGTATATTTCGTTCAATTTATGAATTTCAGTCGACCGGAGTACTTTATTCTTTTTATAATCACCCATTTTTTTTTCTTTTCGGTGAGTAAAAAGTAAACGGTTCAAACCTAATAAAAACTGGTCAAACTCTTCACACACTAATATTAAATTATGTGCCCTGCTCTACTTACCTGACTAAAAATTAAATTATCTAAAATGAACAACTGCGTATTGTATGGACGAAAGGTACATAAAACGGAATGCGAAGGTCATCAATTTTTTTGTTTTGCTCAAGAATTAGATCTTGACAGAAAATGTTTAAATCCAATTTCAAGTAACTTAATTAAAATTGTGCCCTCTCCGTGGTAATAATCGAAATCAAAATAATGCGGATTGAAATAATGAATTTATTTTAATTTCTGTAAGAGAGAAATGTTTTCCGTTGCGTAGCTAAGGCTAAAAACTGCCGAATCCGGCTCGAAGGACCAAATAATTTCTTTTCGCGGAATAACCACCGATATGAAAAGAAAATGGGCGGCGCGCTCGGAAGAGCTTTAAAGTGGACTGTAGGCTTTAAAAATTTAGAAATACTACCGATCGCCAAACGGGCCGCTAAAGAACTTTAAGGTCTCACCTTAAGCGCACGCCTCCGTCTCCTCAGCAGGCCTGCTTCCTCTTTGCTGTAAGTTTTGCTACTCAATTCGCAGAACTTACTGGTGTTACGCCACGGACAACATAAAAACGCACAACGAAAATCTTTAGAATTAAAGTTCCCTTCGCGGAAAACGCGCAACAGATCTCGGTGCTGCCGCACACGGAATGTTAATGCACTCCCGATCGGCTTGACCCAAAAAAAAACTTTAACGGCAATACCGCGGTAAAAAATGTTCCAGCAACTTAAATTTTTATTTGAGTACGCACAAAATTATTTGTCCCAAAAACCCGACTAAACATAAGAAAACTTTCTCTCTTTGCAAATTACCAAAAAATAAAATAATAAAAAAAATTATATATATATATATATACAAGGACAGACGTGCGATCTGTAGAAAAAGGTATTGTCTTTCGCATGTTAATATTGCACAAAAACAAGGCCATTGAAGAAAAATAACTTGTGTGAACTTGCATAGTTGAGGCACTTTTCTTCTCTTGTCTTCTTTTTTTGTTTGCTAATTAGGTAGTCTTATTTGTGTATGAATTTCATACTTGTTATTCCAGGCTGCCTGTAGATATTTACCAGACCGCAAAGGTTTCAAAAATACCATTGATGATGGAAAAAGGAACCCTTCCTGTCGAATATAAAGGCAAATCGATAAACGAAATGGACATTGATATTGACTATCCCGAAGAAAATGAACCTAAAGGTAGTCATAGAAAAAGTTTTCTGTTTACTACTAGTTTGCCATTTTATATCTAAATGGTTTCAGAGTCCTCGTCACCAAATTCGCCCACACAAGACAATGAAATATTGTTTGTGTGGAAAAAAGAAAATATTGAAGCGAATAAAGATAATAATATTTTTGACCAACCAATTCCTGAAAACATTAAGAAGAACGAAGATCAAGAAACTGCTGATATAGGTAATTCTCTATGTTTTTATTACTTTTACTCAGTTATACTGCAATAGGCATGGTTCATTAGAATAAGAGGTAAAAATAAACCGATGCGAGTTAACGAAAATTTAGGTCAGATTTGTTTTTATTAAATTTATTTTGTTACTGTGGTGTTAAAAAACTAATAATACTAGTGCGAATATAAGTAAAACAGTTGTGTGTTTTTGACAAAACACTGTTTCTTTCAGATAAGCCAAAAGTCTCCAAAGTTGTAAATAAGCGATGTAAGTGACAAATACTAATTTATAAAATAACGACAAACACACCTTAACTAATTTTTCGAACACGTTTTATGAAAAATATTTTTTATTTTAGTATGGAGCGAGAATGAAGTGAATTGCATCCAGAAGGAGTTTGCACAATACCTCCAAACAAACACTTTCCCACCGTCAGCTAAAATAAGAGAATTTATTACAACCTTTAACTCTAAGAGAAGTGTATCCGTCATAAAATCCAAAATACAACATTTGCTGAAGTTAAGAAAACAGTAAAAGTTTACATTGATTTTGACATCTTGTAACTAATACCTCGATTAATAAAAAAGAGTGTTTTAAATATACTGATCCTTTTTATTTAGGGGACCCAATTATTCCAGTAGCTGACATGGCACACCAAACTGTTACCTTCTTGGAATGCAATTGTTTTTCATGCTTTTCTTTGGGTTGTCGGGGCTCCAAAAGCGACAGTTTTGTTTGTTAACAATACCCCTCTATATGGAAGTGAGCCTCATCACTGAATAAAATGTTGTCCAATCCTCCTTCGTTCCAAAACATATTCATCATTGCCTCACAATAATTTTTTCGTAATTCGTAGTCTGTGGGCTTTAGAAACTGCACCAATTGAATTTTGTAGGGATGGAACCGTAAGTCTTTGCTTAAAATCCGTTGCACACTTGAGCGATGAATATTCAGGGCCTGGTCATGTTTTCGAATTGAGCGCCTCGGATGTTCAGTCGCAGCACGTCCCACAATCTCAATATTCTCTGGCGTTCTGATGGACCTCTGTTGACCGGGACGCTTCTGATTTGCCACTGTACCACTTTGTCTAAATCTTTTAACCTACGATTTCAATAAATTGTTTGACGGAGCATCACGTAAACGCCGATTATTGTAACGGTTACAAAAACGTCGCCGTGCCGCAACATACGAATCGTTCGATTTAAAGAACGCTTCGACCATAAACGCTCGTTGCTCATTTGACCACTGCTCCATGTTGACTGATAACCAGCGCTAACCCCCCCCCAAATATTAAGTTGGATGTACAAGGCGCGTTTAAATAGTGAAATTTACTCTGAGTCACCCGTTATATATATATATATATATATATATATATATATATATATATATATATATATATATATATATACACACTTCGAACATTCGGAGAGCGAGCATTGAAGATGCCAAGTGAGATTTTGGCGAAACGTCTGCAGGATTCCAGTCGGATGCAGGATTTGCAGGATCCCAGTCGGAGTTCAACGAGCGAACGGATGATATCCCGGAATATAGTGTCATCACATTTTTCCATCCGTGAATCAATACGTGAGAATATATATATATATATATATATATATATATATATATATATATATATATATATATATATATATATATATATATATAATATATCGTTGCAATTTATTATTTTCTTTCTAATATAAATTTTATTAGTAGCTGATAAGTATAACAGAAGTTTAGTTCGCTTGTTGTAGAGTCCATTGTATTAGTTATTTGTGTTATACTAGTTTCAAGAACATTTAAGCTGGTGTAAACTTGTTTTTTACCTTAAATTTATACTAAAAGAAAACCTACAGAAAATACATTATTAGGTACCTAAGCAACAGTAGTGGTTTCAAGATTATACTATTTTCCACGATTTTTTTTATTTCAGGTTATTGCAAGGGGTTTGATTAACTTGGTATTGTCATTTTATTTGCAGAACAAAAATATTAAAAACAAATGGATATAAAGATCTTTTTCTTTTACTTCTATTGAGCAAATCGACCAGAGTCACTCGGCCACTTACACAAATAGTTTGACACTTTCTTTATGATCCTGGAGGGTGCCTTAATTAAAAGGGACTGGATAGATCCATCTCCTTCGAGGAGAGCAGAAACAACAATTAAACTTTATTTAAAAATATTCGACCGATCATGAAAAACGGCTTCCCTCGCTTCCCCCGTGGACCATTCGGACCTATCCGGCCACCATACGGGCGTGGACAGGAAAAAACAGCGGGACCGACAATGAATAAACACTTATAACGTTCACTAGACACTTAGAACACTTAATCCATACAATGGAACCAATTTCTAGTATGTTGTGTGGTTATTTTTCTTTGTTTTTATTTATTGTATTATTTTGCTTATAGTGATATTACTTATGGAGCTTGTTTGTTGTTAGACTTCGCTTTTCTAACAATTCTTTTGAAAATTTTATATCGAAGGCGCCGATCAAAGGACCACAGGTGTGAGTGATATGAATGTGATTGGGTAAGGTTTATTAGCGAAAAATTAATTTGATTTGTTTTTTGGTGCACGTGAGGAAATAAATTAGTAGAAATTCATTTTTGTTAATGTTTGCTTATTTGTTATATGCTATGTTATATCAGATAAATTGACAGTTGTACTAACTACTTGTTGATTTCAAAACCTGACAAGTTCGATTAAGATAAGAGGCAATATATTATTTAATGTGTTTCTGATAATGTGTTGTTAATTTTAATTAAAAATTGTAAATAATTGTTAAGAAAAGTTAAGTTTTTTTTGGATTTGCAATAAATTTTTAATTTCAGTGTTATTAAATTGTTTTTTTTTTACTTCATTTTATTAAGATTATTTCATAGATATAAAATAATTTTCTGAAATGTAATAAATTAATTATTACTTATTGTTTAATTATGTATTAATTTCTAATGATGTAAAAATGTAATATAAATAAAAAAGTCTTCCACCCCTTCCGGCTCTTCTTCCACCTCTTCCGGCTCTTGTTCCACCTCTTCCATTCCGGCCACCACTTCGTTGTCCTCTTTCCCCTCTCTTATACCAAATTCCTCCCTCTACTTTTTCGTTTTCTTTTTTTTTTAATTGTTCAATTTCTACTTGTTGGATATTTGGATATTTTTTTTTAAATCTTCAATTTTATCTAGACGTTAAATAAAAAACAGTATATATAGTAAATAGAATATTGTCATTATATCTGGGCTTATTTCGCATAAAAAATTGTTATGCAGAAGTAAAAAGTTACTTGCCATATCTCTTATTTATCTCGAAAAGTAATGGGAAGAATTTTATTAGTAGTTATTTAAAGTAATTGTTATTGTATATATATTTTAGTAATAATAAACTCTTAATTTTTGCAATTTTTTGATTTTACTACTAATTAAATCTAAAAAATTAATTAGTGGTTTCTTAATTAAACTTACCATTCATTTCCCTGTCTTTATTTTTTTCTTGTACATCAATAGGTGGAAGATCTGTAATATTATTTTTATGAATTTTTTATTATTTAGAAATTTTTGAAAAAATATGTGTGTCTATATTAATTGAATTTACATTTAAATGAAAATTTAGAAAAGTGCTATAGTAGGTTATTTAATTTTCAATTAATATGATATTTACTTATTGTTTAATCATGAGGTTATTATTTTTCAATATTTTTTAAATGAATTAAGTTGACGTTTTTTAAAACTATTTTGTTGAATTATTTTTTTGTTGATAAGATATTTTTATTAAAATTGTAATACTTTAGCAATTTTCTTTTGAATAATTTATCCAAGTGTTTAAGAAAATAAATAAAAAATAATACGGTAAATACGGTATTTTTATAATAAAATAATATATACTTATCATTTAAATTATCTTCTATTTCAATGGTCGGAATTGTCATGTTTTTGGATTGTTTAAATCTGTAGATAGCGATATTAATATGTTAAGATTCAAAATTCTGTTGTCTCAATATTTTAATAACAAATTTTACGAATAACACATTACAAAAATTTGTATATTAGATTTGTTCAGGGAGAATTTGTCGATTATTGATTATTAAACGTGAAAACTAGCTATTTATAAAAAACATTTTAAAATACCGACGTAAATTATGATGGCATAAGTAGTCGTAAATGCTCGATGTTATTAGGTATATTCAATTTCACAAATTTGTAATAATTTCTAAGGAAATGTTTCATAAACAATAAAAAAATTCTTACCTCTTTG